GTAGAGCGTTGCTGGCAAATCAGCTGTAAAAATATTGATGTGGTGCTCTCGTTGCAAGCAGTGCTGCGGAGCGTGGTCACGTTTGCCATTTCACGCTGACTGGCGACGTTATTGAACACGAAACGTGGGATTTCGGTTTACTCCCACATGGGCAAATGGAGTCGGATGTGCCACAATCAAATCATATCGCGAGTCCCCTTTAAGCGGCTGTGTCAAGTCAGTACGCACAGCTACACGGCGTCATCGTACAGTAGGTGCACGGTGGGCGTCATCTACAGTAGGTTTACGGTCGCGAAGCCAGTAGCCACATGAGCACAGCCACGCAAGGCGGTCGTCCAATCCCAACACTCGACTCTCTCCTCTTTGTCTTAGAAACGCCAAATGCGTGGCACTTGAGCTTCTCCCAATGAAGTTCGCGCGCCATTTTGCACGGCACTACTCCCCCTGCCGGGTACCAGTAGTATACGAAGGATCGTCATTATGCTTCACAATGACAGACACGCAACATTCCCGCTTGTGGTCCGCGCCCGAGTATTCCTTGTCGTTAAAATGGCGGAGGGCATTCAAACTCGACCGTTTCGCCAGTTCGCGGCTGAACAAGTTGCAAGACGGCAGAGAGCGACAAAAGAAAGGCGACGGCAAAAGGGAGGACGTGGACATGAGCAGCAGCGATGGCAGCTTCCAAAGCAGTTAGTTGCATCTTGGTGTTCGTCTCGTCTCGTCTATCTCGAAACAAACGACTTGTACCCAAACTAACTGACAGAGACAGACACAGCCGATGCAAACTCTCCGAGGGTGAAGGTACGGCACGGTCGCAGTCAATCATCGCTGTCTCAGGAGGCAAACACCCCCAAATTCTGCCAAGTTTAGCCTGCCTGCAGCCACATCACAGCAAAGCAGCGGCACAGCAAAGCAGCGGCACAGCAAAAATAGACTGTTCACGAACACACGATCCACCGTTAGCAACCACGGCGCCTGTCCGTGTACCTCACAGGTGCTCACTCACGTGTGGGAAGGATATCCTCCTCGCGTGAAGCAGCAGCCTGCCCGACTTGGCCTTTCCTTCGGGTGTGCCGTACAAGGAGTCGCCCATCACTGGATGGCCGAGGTGCACAGCGTGCATCCGGATCTGATGGATAGATCAAACACAGACGCGAGAGGCGCCACGAAGAAAGACACAATGTTCAACCGCTGCTGCAACCGCGTTCGGGTGTCGCCACAGATGAATTGGTGACAACCCTAGAGGCGCCCCAACGTTTCCCCCAACTTATCCTATCCCTCCGTTTCAACAAACAGTCCTGTGTGCCCCTGGATTGTTGATGCATGTGAGCAAACCAACACTCGGTCCCTTTCCCCTGTGTGACCCCGACTGGCTGGAGCGTCCCGAAAGCTGTAGTCTGAGGCCCAGATCAGCCGGGATGGTAACACACACACTCACACAAGTGGTCAGCCGGTTAGCGCGGTCGATGCCAACAATAAAAATACACACAATTCACCCTTCCTCCGCGAAACACAAAAGAATCTTGGGGTACGGTTCTGCCCATGCAAATCTCACAGCAAGGGCGCACCTGGTGGGTCCTGCCTGTTACCGGTGTAAAGTCCACCCATGTCCGGTCCTCCTTCCGTTTTATCCGCTCCCAATTCGTATGCGCCTCATTTCCCTTCTCTTCGCAGAACATCTGCGGCCACCGTGAGAACCCAAAACACAGCGGCAAGAGAGAAAGCGATGCTATTGGTGCTCTCATGTAGAAATGTTGAATCTTGAAGAAAAAAGTGGGATATCTAGCCATGTACGGGTTCAGTCGATGGCATGGGACGGCCGCAAACCACGAAGTCATGCAAAGTATTGAGTGTACGTCCCGCCGAGGAAAAGAAAAAAGGTGGCGCTGCAAAGGGTTGTCCGCTGCGCAGCAAGCTGTTGCCGCGAGTTTTCCGTGGGGGTATCTTCGATTCCACAGGAAGCCAAAGGACTTGCCGAACGTTCTCGGGCCGCATCGAGTGAGTCTCACGCGTATGGATGCTGTTCACCTGTTTAGGCCGATTATCAGCATCAGGCCGCAGCTTGGCCGTGACTTCGCCGCTCTTGGGCGTTTTGGCCATCCTCCCTTCCAATACCGCGGTGTACGTCTTGGAAGGAACTGCCGCGCGAGATCGACAGCGATGACAGACCCACCGGAACAGCAAAGTGATAAATGATCGTGTGCGTTTGTGCAGAACAAGAAGGAGAACGGGTGAGTCATTGTCTCCGTCCACGTATTGTATACCTCTAGCATTGACGGGAGGCGGCCGTCGCTCGTCTCCGCCAAAAAAACGATTGTGTCGACGAGAACATTGACTTTCAACAATATACTTTCCAATCCGGCTGAAGTCCACACGAACATCAGCCTGGTCTGCGTGTACTTCCCTCGAGACAGTCCTAAACTGTCAGCAACATCACGTAGACACCATACCCAACCAGCGTTGCCGGCAGCCCTCCTTCCCTTTGTGTGTGCCTCCAGTGGTTCCGCCATTATCACTCCTTCGATCTAACGTGAAGCACCTTGTAAAACACGTTGACTGGTGGTTAACCACGGCAACGCCACTCCGAGATTAATTTTCTACAAGGCCTTCACGAAAAGACAAGACATCTCCTTGTGTGTTGAGACGGACACGCCATGCCACGGCCAGACCGATCGATCCGCCGCGAGTAAACAAACCCTTCCCGCCACCAAGGCACGTAGAGAACTCACCCCGCTCGCGGAACTGCCGACACATCTCCCTCGCCGCCTCTACCGTCAGAGCCATTACAACCAGTCCCGAAGTGTCTTGGTCCAGACGATGGACATGCCGGGCCTCGGGCCACCTAGGCATATGTAGGCCGCGGGCGTCAAGCGGACCGAAGCACGCTGACGCTTGTGATCAAAATAGAGAGAGCGGCTATCGACACCACACTATCAATGAAAGAAATAGTGCCGCAGACCTCCCACAAAAGTGTGCTCGCGGGATACTGCTGTATCTACCGAGCTGCGGTTCGTACAGAGCTTGTCCATTCTAGCGCCCAGCACAACAACCCACAAACGAAAACGCTTGGGGTGAAATCGTCACAACACGTGTAATATTGCTCGCTGCTCGATCTCCGCCTAGCTCCCCACTTGTCCCCTTCATGCCATCTTTCGGCGCAAACCGACCGGCCGACGCGTGCGGTGCGTGGCCGGGCACTTGTTGGGTCGACAGCCGCCAGCTCACCTGGATTGCACCCGCGTCAAGAGGCAGTCCACCCCGGGGCCGACCTCTTTCTTGAGGTGACCGTCGACGGTGTCCCACAGACGAGCGGACACCTTATCCCCTTCCTCCCCTTCAAGACCAAGAGTCACCGCCGTGTAGTTGTGAAACTTGCTTCTGCCGGGCAGATCGTAGAAGCGAGAGGGCGACGATCAAAGGTAGAGTCGGTGTCGAGCTCCTGACATTGTCTCGGCTGCATCATCTTTGCCACTCACCCCACTTTCCCTGGTCTCCACACCCTACCTACACGTGGTCAGGTCGAAACATATAGCGAGTATGCAGGCAGCTGAAGCAGCACGAACAACATCGTCCGAGCCTTGGGGGGGAAAGGCGAAGGAAACCAAACCTCACAACCTGCCCGTTTCGAATAAAAACTCGTCCTGCCCGTTATGCTGTCGTCGACCTTGATCAACGAGGCAGAGGAACCACGCGCGTGTTTCACCTTTTCCTCGGGACGTTGTTTTCCTTCGTCAGACGGCGCAGGTGATCGCGGAACTCTTCTTCGCCCTCGGTCTTCTCGTCGTTAAGAAGTGACTCACATGCCGTGTGTACCACGTCCGTCCAAAACTCCTGCCTTTGCCTCTTGGTTCCGCTGTGCCACTCCACCTGGTGTATGTCACGCAAAAACACAGCAGTGCACCCTGCTTGTAACTTCTTTTGCTGTGTGATCCAGGCTTTTGCGTCAACAAACATGGGAGGGCGAAGACCGGAGCCAAGAAAAATGAGTTTGAAACACACACACACATACCGGAACACAGCGTTTCATGATATGCCGCAAAACATGACCAGTTTGGGTGGGTAAGTTCGCTGTCTAGACTTGCTGATTGTCGCAACTTGCGCACATAGTTTCGGTTGTATCCGCATGCCCAAGAGAAGCAGCCGCCGACTGAGCGAGTCCAGCAGTGTTGCAGCACACGACGCTATATATTATTCTTAATATAAAAGTGTTGTACAGCAGCAGTCACTCGCCAAACCCAGGCAGCAGGCTGAGCAAGTTCTTCGTCTGTGCCACAAGAGCAAGGTCGCTCAGCACCTCAGCCTGAGTACCGGCAAACCAGTGGACCGCAAGCAGTTAGCAGTAGCGGATCGATCCAAGTTTCCTTGATCGGTGTTCTCAACAATTGAGCTGGGGATAAGCTGGGGATCCTCTACCACCCCACACATCTGCACATGCATCTCCATCTCACTCACGACTCACGACGCCAAGCAACCCCGGCTGTGGTTATGTTGAAACATGCGGGGGATCAGCTAAAAGCTCCAACTCGTCGTACAAGGATACATGCATTTTCATCCACCCTCTTTCGCCTTATCGATGTCGGCGGCAGTCACGAGCAACGAAGACTAGGAAATGCTCTCTCCCTCTCTCTCTCTCGCTCCTCTCTTACATGCACCCTCGTCTCAGCCTCCGGTCCGACCGCCTTGCCTGGAACAGTCCTCAATCCTGTAGGCTTGTTGAGTACTACAATATCGGTATCACTGAAAATAACATCTATATCACTATCACTGTTGCTGTTTTGATTAGGGCTGTCTTCTTCCTTCGGACACTTCTTCTGTGACATGGTAGGAGCCTCTCTCTCTCCCTCTTCTCTCTCTTCTGTCTCTGTCTCTGCCACCACACTCGCTCGTGCCATCCAATGCAAGCCAGTCCGCAGGCAGGGGGCCCCCAGACAAGAATATTAGGGTATGTGGGGGGAGACAGGCGAGGTGAGAAATTCCGTAGACAGAACCTCGACCACCACGCGGAAAGTGCACCTTCCACCTCGGGACCTTCTGCTTCGCAAGGCGCAAACAGGAGACGGAGGAATCGATCGCTGGAGAGCAGGGAGGGGGAGAAGGGAGGAAGACGTTTGAGCTACCGCGGCGCCTAGAGGATTGTATAGTACGCGAGTGAAGGGGGGGGGCGAAGTATACCCTCGGCTTGAGACTTTTACACCGTCACACGAAGACGCTCCAAGCATCCTCCACAAAACGAGACAGCGGCGCCTTGATTATATTTTGCTGACACGCGGGCCGCCACGATGAATGCTGGAGGCACTTCATTACGAACGTGGGTATTAGCGGCGTTCTGCACATCGATACCACAGCCTGCGAGCGGGCGCGAGAGCAGCAAGGGCGGGAACCAACCAGCAGCGACAAGCGTTCTCGATCGCGATCGGGGGGGGTCTCCTCCGCCAAGCGGTGGGCTGTCGGGCGAGCAGCTGGCAGTGCCGGGGATAAAAAATCTTGGAAACACGTGCTTCCTTAACGCGGTCTTGCAGTCCCTCGCGAGCTTTCATGTCTTCAGGGAATACCTGGAGGTGAGTGCTTTCAGACAGGCCCGTAGGTATGGCGGCCACTTTGTCGGATGCTAATATTTTGTGTCAGCAGGCTTGGTCTTTTAAGAGATCCGGCACCCCTTGAAGTTTTTGTTTTTATGACAAGTCTTCTCCGCCTGACTTGACTTGTCTGATGCCTGCCAGGACCTCCACACCTACATGCGAGAGCGAGAGCACCAGGAGCACCAGGCGGATAAGTTCGTTTTTGGCGCAGAACCAGTGAGCATTTGTAACACGGAGGCTCCCGATCGGCCTGTCGTTCTGCCCTTGTGTGCGACATGTTTTCATCTGTTGTTGCCCTTTGATGCGTTTGACCAAGATTTTGTCCGGGTTGTCTGTGGGATGGGAACATCGCCCCATCCGGTTGGACGGCAGGGGAGAGAGAGTGAGCGTTGTTGGCCCGTGTTGTCCCTGCAAACCGCGGAATTGCACCACGCGTCGACACGGCAGCCGTACTTTTCTTGTTTGCACGGGGGGTCGTTTTGATATTGAGGGCGGTGAGGATTGTATAGTTGAGTCTGGCAGCCGCCGCCGTCTTTGGTTCAGCAGCATTGTATGACAGCATCAACCTGGACGGCCCCGACTCAAGCATGTCGTGTACGTCACACCAACGAGCGTCGCATAGCCGAACGCCTCTCTGATAAAATTGCAGTCCCCAGTTCGAAGGTTTCTACTCGCTTGCAATCACGATTTTATGCCCCTTGCACCTGCCAGCACGACAACCATTTCGGCACCTGAGCACTCGGGGTGTTGCTTGGGTGTGGTTGATGGCGCACAAACAGGTTTTATCTACCAAGCCCCTGGAGAGCACCGTCTTCACGTGTGAGCTGCTGCAACTCATGAAAAACCTCGAGCCGCAAGTGCCGCCGGCTTCTCCTGTCACACCCATCATCCCGACCAAGTTGCGAACGCTTTTGAGAGACAGAATCGACACGTTTGGCAGAGAAGACCAACAGGTCGGTTAACACACATTTTTCTGCTATGCGTGTGTATATGCACACATGCGCACCAGGATTTAGCGAAGTATGTGTTGGTCGTGGATGACATTGCGGAATGTACAACTGCGGCGATTGTTTCAGTTGCAACCTTGGAATTGTTTGGTTTTTCTGCAGCTGCCGCTTGTAGACTGACTGGTACAGCCTCCACCAAAACATGATGGAAACGCAACAGAAGGAGGCTCAATCAAACCATAACCCGGTATGGTCTCTACGTTGCTATGCATACTTTAAACCGCGCGAGCCTCTGACGGCAGGGTTCATGTACCCCTGGGAAAGGTGCAGGTACTTGCAGTGAATGACATGACTGTTGTTGTTCAGCTCGCGGTGTAGCCAGGAGGTGTTTCGATCTCTTCTCTTCGCGCAGATGCAGCAGTTGCATGCATCCTACGCCAGGTGCCTATGATCAACGCGACACCATCATTCGTGTGGAGGGTCCAGCGCTAGCTACAACATAGCCACGGGTGTTTGTTGTTACATGAGCGAGATACGCGTGTGATGGAAGTATATCTTGCGCAACTAAGCACAAAGGGAAGAGCCCGAAAGAGACAGACCGCTGAATCCTATTTGGCAATATGTAAGAGCCAAGACAAGACGAAGAGGTGAAGGGAAGTGCAGAAACAGGTCAGGGGAAAGTCCCGGTAGATTCCCCCCTGTGACATTCTTGCCAGGTATCCCCGTGTTTCGTCAGAAAGGTGCAGAGTCCGACGTCCACCATTACTTATCGAGAAAATATGGGATGGCAACATGCAACTGCATGCGTATTGACCCCGTATGACTAAATTCATCCGCGCGACGGCATGGGGGGATAAGGGGTGTGTTATGAATCACGTACTCCAGAGTCACTGACTCGAGCTAAAACACGGGATTTGCGGGTCGGTTTGGGTGATTCCGGCAGGACCAAAAGCGCCTTCGGAATAATATATAGTGCGATAACAACCATGTCACTGAGAGCCTCGTCTCACCTGTGAGCCCTCCGTTGCCATTTCATGACCGTCATTCTGTTTGTCAATCTGAAGAGTTCACAAGGTCACCTACCTTTCCGCGGTGCCGATTCTCACCACTGTCATCTGCGCTGCTGTTGCTGGTTTTGTTCGTGTGCGTATGCGTAGGATGCCCAGGAGCTGTTCCAGATGGTGATGCGCCTTGTGGGCGAGGAAGCTGCGCTGTGCCTAAAAAAACGCAGCACGAGCAGTACTAGCCGAACAACTGCGCCCGGGATACGCATCACTGGAGGCTTTGCGGATCTGATGGATACTGCTTCAAAGGTAACAGTTTACCCGCGGCAAATGAGTAAACAATGTGTAAAGCCATGTATGCGACGTATAGAGTTGTCAGGGACTGGTTCGTTCAACATGTACGCCATCCGCTCGAAACATTGGACTTTCAGCCGTAGCGAAAAGTGGGTGCGCTAATGTCATCTCATCGCATCAAACAGCCAACAGCCTGCACGTGGAACACTACAACGAATGACGCGATGCAGCGTTTGCCCCATCCCATCTTTTTCGAGCCAAGACGTCACTGCTGTGCACTGCTGATTGGCGTTAAAGCTGGGTTCGGTGAGAACTACCACTACAACTGGCGCTGCTTTGCTTCTATTAGTCCCACCTGGCACACGTGCGTCTTTGTCCGCTTTCACGGTGGTGTTGCGTTACCCCTGGCTCGATTCATCCTAACTCTTCTCACTCGTTAATATATCGCGCTGCTATAACGGCGTCTGGAAGAATTTGCCAGAGAATCCGCTGCTGGGCTCCCTCATGTACTTGCGGCACTGCAGGGGGTGCCAGCAGAAGTCGGGACGATTGGAGAGATTCGTCGACTTATCGTTGACTCTACCGGAGGCGAGAAACGTGAGCAGCCTTCCTTGTATCAGACAGAAATATTTGTTACTCAACGGCTTGTGCATCGTTCAGTAGGACTTACTGGTGTGTCTTGTGTGTGTGGTGTTTTTTAAGCGACGTGCCGCCATGCGAAGCGACGCTGCTGCCATGCTTGTCGCAAACCTAGCGAGGGTCTTGCAGTCTTCTTGCCTGCTGAATATTATTTGCGTTGCTTGTGTTGCAGATGTAGGTCTGCTTCGAAACACCTGCGTCAACACGGCCTCGCCCTATCCACAGCTTGTTGATGACACCCATCCCTGTCTTGTCCTGTCTTTTGTGTCGTGTGCTCCGCAGCCCCACGTAGTAGGGCCCGGCGTGCCAAGTCCACCAGTCAACCTGGAAAAGATCCTTGAAGATTTCACCCGGGAGCAGCTGGTCGAGGACGTCGAGTGTCCAAAGTGAGACAGACACCTGCGTTGGCGATTTCTCTTTGTCCGGTCCCACAGCATAAAGTGTTGTGTTGTGTTCGCTAGTGCTAGTGCTAGTGCTCGACCTGACGGAAAGGGACAGTGCCCAGCGGTGGCTCTCGATTGTAGACAGCACGTGTTGCAGCGCTTCAACGGGACAGGTTTGTCACGCTCCCATTTATGGAATGGGCACCGAGCAGCGTAGTATTGCATGTACGACTACCACGATGAAACGTTTCGTTGCTTCCGTTCGGTGTCATGGGTCGGTGGGGTCGTGCAGGTGCGCGATGAGGAGCGCGATGGAGGCACGCGAGACCCACGACGAGGAGAGCGAGAGCGAGGAGGAAGAGGAAGACGACAGCGACGACGAGGAGGTTGTGGTGCCACCGCAGAGGGTGCGGGCCGATATGCGAATGTTGCTGGCGACACCGCCGAAGACACTCTGCCTTCACTTTCCGAGGCGGCATCGAAGGTGAGGATGGATGCAATCATGACGTAGCGTGACTGCTGTCGGCGTGAGTGGCTACGGTTGCTGCGTGCCGCCCAGGGGTAAAGTCTTCGGTGTGCAGCCAACAGTATTTGCGGTTCAGCACGCAACTGCTGTGCTTTGAACGTTACGGGCGGTTGCCGATGGACGGGTTTTGCATTGTTGACCCCTTATCTAATCTCTCGTATGATCGTCCTTCGTCCGCCCTTCGACACTCTCCGTGGCTTCTGTACACGCTGCGCTATTTTTTCCTGCGCTAAGCCCATCGGGATCTGAGATGAAACTCAAGCAGAGGGTTATCTTCCCCGCACACCTAAACGTGGCGCGTTTCTGCTACGCGGGAGGGTGCCACACGGACAGCATCGGCGTCCCCACGGCGTTTCAGACGAAGAGCATGCTCGCGAACAGCCTTACGCAGCTGCCTCAGGGCCACGCCGTTAAGACAACTCCCGGAGCAGCGGGCTTGCCTCCGGAGGCGTTGCTGCCGACACCTCGACCACCTCCATCCGCGAGCTCGCCGCCGCAGGCCAAGGCGCTCCAATCGCCGCAGCCTCTCCCGGGCTATAAGCAAGCTCTGGTCGGGGGAAGCGCGCAGGAAGCAAGCATTGCTTACTCACGGAAGGAGCTGAACGGGTTGCGCAGCGGCAGCGGTGGTAGCGGCGGCGGCAGCAGCGTCTCTGGGAGCGTCGAGGGGGGACGGGACTCAAACGACGTGGGGAGTGTGTCGGGTAACGACGGAGCTATGGAGTACGACTTAAGAGCTGTCATCGTCCACAGGGGGAGCGCTGACAGCGGGCACTACACTGCTTTCCGCAAGGTTGACTCTGACAAGGGAAAGCCGGTAGAGGAGGAGGTACCAGCGGGGCCTGAACCGGTGTCGGAGGCACCGCGCGGGGAGAGAAAAGTGGGGGGAGGGTGTGCCAAGAAGGAGTGGGTGTATATATCGGACGAGGAGGTGGAGAGGGTCTCCGAGAAGAGGGTTTTAAGCAGTCAAGCGTACATGTTGTTTTACCGCCAGGGTTTAAGGTAGGGATCAGGGCTGCTTGTTGTGAGAGCGTGCGTGCTTTCAGGAACCGGAACGTCCACAAGCCGGGAGGGATAGTATTGTAGCATAGCTCTGGCTTGCCGTAAGATTGTCGGTCTCTCTCAATTACCGTGTGGTTTTACGTGTTCGTTGTTTCGTTGTCATTGGTTCTTGTGGCCGGTACGATTGCCAAGCGTTAAGCTTGGGTGTTACCCGGTAAACAAAAAGCGGCTGCACCACAGCAGGAAGTACACTGTTGCAGTCATCAGATGGCGTGTCGTGCGCGCTTTTCGTATGGTTATTGATCGTTTGTGTCAGGACGGTTCTAAACCAACAGTGTGGCGTGACGGACGTAAATCCCCAAAATGGAAAAACTTTCTTCACGCTGGGTGTTCGAGGCCCGTAATCTGTCCACAACACATGAAATGATTCGAGTTGTAAAGCGAAAAAGCCTGTGTTTTCCAGGCTAACACACCTGAAAGTTTCACGTCCATGCTCTCAGAGGAGCCGATCCCCACCACATTCCACTCAACGTTGGCCAGAAGTACCAAATGATAAGGCTAGGCTCTTCATTGCCGAAGGAATGGTCGCCATGTGTGCATGGGCGTGGATGACGCTGCAGCGCTTTGATACATGCGCGCGCGTTTTTCAAGATGACTACGGTTGTCACCAGACTAATTTTCTCTCTAGAGGGAAGTGATTCTTGACGAGATCTTACCGAGCGATCAACAATTCATCGATCGACCCCTTGGTGTGCTTGATTGCACGCGCAGCAGTCTTTTTTCGTTCCGTGGTCCTCGAACAAGCACAACACCGAAAACCGTTTGCTGTCGACGGGTCTCACGGCCGATCGAAGTCATTCAATTCAATGCTCGTCGAGACTGAGTGCATGGAAAAGGGAAAAGCGCCCAGACTTCGAACCTATACAAACAGAAATCGTGCGGTTTGGACCAAACCGCTTCCTTTTTTTTCATGTAAACTGAAGACAAGGTCATCCACAACACAGTAGTGCACGTTTGCATATGGTGAAAAACAATGACCGTACTGTTCAGTCCTGGGCCACATAACTGCCTTGACTGACAACTGGGCGAGATTCCACGGCTGACCTCATGGATACAAACTCGAAGGACTCGACGTTTAGCAGAATGCAAGGAACCTAAAAAAAAACGCTTCCGCCTCGAAGAAACAACTTGGACCCGGTGGCGACGTTCGATGACCTTCGCACCTGGATCTCCTGCATTTCCCTCAAGCGCAGCAATAAACGCCTCAGAGCCTCCCTAACGAAACCTACATCGTCATCATGCCCACCGACGGGCCTCTGGAGGATAACGAAGGGAGGGTGCAGCGTCTCTCCAGAAACCTCGAAGACCGTTTCAGAGGGCAGAAGTAACCCCTGTTGACAGCGGCCAGGACACTCGCAGCCGGATCGCCAGCTGTCCTCGCACCGTTCCCGCTTGTCCTACTCATATCGGTAACTCTCGCGTGGTCCCCTCCCCCTACACACCCTTAATCGGGTGTAACCACAAATACTGCGGTTTGCGAACTCCCCTACTTCAAAAACATACTAGCCGCACGCCTCTCGCGGTCACAAAACAACCGAAATCGCCTGCTTGTCCACCAACAAGGTCCACAACCGCCAGCCACCCCTTTTCGCCGTCCGCAATACACAAAAAGAACAAAAAACAAACCGGAAATCGAATTGGGGTGGGTCTGCTAAGTTGTTCTAGTTGGCACTGAAACAAGCGCAGAGACCGCAGCACGCCGGCTCCTTACTCCAGGCGTCCGCGCTCCTTGTAGCGGTGCCGGGAGTGACTGGAGTGGACCTCGGCGCATTTCTCATCATGGAAGCTGTCGGGTCCTCCGTGGTCTGCGGAATGACAGCAAGAACCGCCCAAAAGGGAAAAGGGAAAGGGAAAAGGCGCAATTCGTGAGCTACTCTACTGCGTGCGGGCACCTCTGCGCAACCATGAGAAATGGAAAGGAGGGCTGGGATTCAGATTCACCTACTGCTGTAGCATTCGTAACTTCGCCTCTCGCGGCGAACGCCGGAGTTCCAACCACCGGTCAAGAGGACGCACGCATGCCTCGCGTTTCGTCTGCAGACCAGACGTCCAGCGAGTCCGCTGGCAACAGCAGCGGCGACTCTTCGACATCAAGACCCGTGCTACTTCGTACATTCGCTGTGTGCTTCGCCTACACGAAAAGGCCTCTGGCTGCAACTCTCATTGCACTGCACTCCTACGGTGACTCCCTCCAGCTTAACGCAGCAAAGCACGAGGGACACAAACACCCACAGCACTCCCAAACTAGACCTTCAAAAAATACAAAAAGCTTCGCGCAGCAAATATCGGACATCACATCGGAAGAACCGACCTTGCTCTCCTCTTCCTCCATAGTCTGCAACACCTTCAACACCTCAACCCAACGAGCGGCCTCTTCCCTCGTGGATGCCTGCGTTAACAACGTCACGCGTTGGCGTACGAACACACGAAGATTTCACGTCCATTGCATCATTCGGGAAGGGAAGATGTTGAAGAATCACTACAGACGAACTAAGGCAAGAACCAACACGTTCCAGCTGCGTCCTATGCTCCGCACGTTGCATCATAGCTGATGCCAAGAATCTAGCCCATGATGACCATGAAAAACCAGCAACACCATAGAACAAAAGCAATACTCCACACAACGTAACTGAATGGTACAATACACAGTAGTGTACCTTCATGGTGTAAACGCGATCGTTGAGCTCGATGGTGAAGAGAGAGCCGTCGTTATCCTCCTCGTACGACTCGTCATCTGGGTCTACCAATCGGATCTCTCCCACCTGGGGCAGGTTAAGCGCCGCCAGGAGCTTCTCCATCTTCTTCGACTGCGTATGTATGCACACATACATAACGCCACACACCAGATCGACATAGCCAGGCGGGCACACGGACATTCAGCAGGCGGACAGACGAGGGGGATTGATTGCAATGGGGGACGTGGGGACCTTAAACGTGCGGGACGAAGCTGGTACTTACACAGCTGAAACACTTCCAAAATGCCGTTCGTGCAACGCCGTTTCATGTCCAACATCCAACACCAGCAAACAAGCTGCGTTGTGGAGCAAACAGCTAGCTAGCTAGCTCTACCTTGGGCATACGAATTGACGTGAAATATCCACCCCCGTCACTACGCATTTCAGAAACCAATACTTGTACAAAGGTCGGACCATAACCAACCGGAGGCTCGTACAACGTCTGCACACCTTGTAATAGGTGAGGTAGTGCGCGTTGGTCTCGAACCATCTCTTCTGCCACTTGCCTGTCTTGGCCTTCTTCTGAAGGTAGCCTGCCATGTTGCCGGTTCCAATCGGGGAGGGGAGGGACGTGCATTGAAAACGACGTACTTTTGATAGTATGCATACAAACATAGTATTGTGGACCCTTCCATTTCATTACGTTTGAGTATACCTTCCAGGGCAAGCTAGTCTGTGGCGACGGGAATCGACAGCGTCAAATGTTAGATTAGTACCGACAGATGAAAGTGGTACTGGCTAGAGGGGTCGGAACTGTTTTTCATGTAATAACAACAATAACAGTACAGCGTGCTATGCATGTGCTGTGCATATCTAAATATGACCGGCCTTGCGCGAGAAAAACATGACAGCCAGGCCAAACGGATGTGGGGACACCGCAAGTTGAGTACCGAGTCAGGGTGCTTGAGAGGGGGGGG